ATTAGCTTATAGAGTTTCCTTTTTCTTCTAGAACTAGTTAGGTTTTTTAGTTATCTAGCCTTTCTTTTTTTTACTACAGCGCTTAGCATGTCTTTTGTTGTAGGTAAGTGCTTTTTTAACATAATCTTTAAAGCTCTTAGGCTTCTTTATATAAATAAATTTGTTCTTAATAGTGTTTAAGAGCTCTTTATAAAATATTTATTTTATAGCTTTCTTATCTGTCTATCTACAAATAGCTAGCAGTTCTCTAAAGCAGGCTGTGTATTATTAGACAGAGCTGTTGCCCTGTTAGAGAGCGTCTATTTTATTAACTACTTTTTTTTCTTTATTAACTAGCCTATAGATTATAGTTAAGGCTGCTTTAAATAAGTTAATGTTAGTAAAGACTTTTTATGTTTCTAGTAGTAAAGGTTTACTAGTTGTCTTATAGTTTATCTAATTATTAGTGTAAAGTTAGAACTAGATAGTAGGTAATTCTTCTAAGTATAGGTTTATCTAAAAAATTATTTCTTTATCTATTTTAAAGGCGCCTTTGTTATATTGCATGTAAAGGTATTATTTAGTAAAGAAAAGTTTTAGGTTTTTAGCAGAGCTATTAAATGCTTTAGAAGAGGCTAGGCGTAAAGTCTTTTTAGATTTAATACTAGTTTTTTCTTAAGTAATGTTTTTAAGGTTAGCTACTTCTAGCTATAGGGCTTAGATTTAGTAGACGTTAGAGGGTCCTTGCTATGCTTAAAGCTAGAGGTGCTGTTTAAGCTATTTAAGCTTATTTTAAAGGTAAAGTATTTGCTAATTTTGTGCTTCCTTAGTTGCTGTAGGGGTCTAGCTAGTGCTAGCAGCTAAAGCGCCTGTCATGCTAATGTCTAAGGTAGTAGTAGCTATACTTTGCAGGGGTGGTGATTACTGTTACAATCCTTACTCTAGTAAAATAGTATTTTTAGAGTATGTTAGCCTATAATAGTATGTTAACAAAAAGGGTAGAACTTAGCTAGATTAGGTGTACAGTCTGTTAAGCAGAGTATAAGGCAGTGCAGGATAAAGGATAGGCAGGCTTGTGGTTTAACCTAGCAGCTATATAAAGAGCTAGTAAACCTAATCTGTAGGGATAGAAGTAGAGGTACATATAGTGTAAGATATACAAGGCAGCTGTGTCCTGTTAAGGGGTCACAGCTTCTTAGTTTAAAAGAATAAAAGGGGGGGTAGTTTTAATAATAAACTAAACAGTAATTATAACCTTCTAACTATGGTTGTGATTAGGACTATATACATAGGGTTTGCATGCTTTGCATGCTTGCATGCTTGTTCTAAAGCTGCCTGCATAGCCTGTAAGCCTGCAAACTTATATATCCTATTAGACAGTGCATTCTGCTAGGCTTTTGTCTAAAAACTGGAGCCATTCCTCATCTGTCCTGTCACGTGATTCGCTTAGCGCGGGGCTAAGTGTCTTCTATCTGACGTCGTTCGGGCTGTGTGGGACAGCCAGTTGGGTTATTACGGTCTGACCGTTGGCTGTAACACTTACTTAATTTAGAAGAAGTTTATCTAGTATTCTATATCTTACTTTTAAAGCTATATACCTAGAAAGGGCGTCTTAAGTTATAATTAGAACTAATTATAAACACTCTACGCGCTATAAAGAATAATATGTACTATATAAAAAAATACTTAACTAGAAATAAAATTTAGTTAAAGTATAAAAATATTTTATAAAATAAAAAAGTTATTTATTTAAAAAAAACTTATAAAAACTTAGACTTAACATTAGCTTAAACACATTAAAAGTGTTCTAAAAAAGTAAAGAAATATATAGTAAAAAATTAAATTATGCTAGTTTAGGTTAAACTTTTTTTAAAAAAAAAAGTAACTTAATAAGTTAAGTATAGCTACTTTTACTTTATTTTTTCTTACTTAAAGTTTTTTTAATAAGAGGTGTTTAATAGCGCTATAAAAAGAAAAAGATAAAATAGCTTATTTAAACCTAAATTTTTCTTATTTAGACTAAGTAAAGCTATTCTAGCATAAAATAGCTTACTAGAGTTAAAAAAAGAGTTATTTTAACTTTAAAAAATTTATTATGTAGAAAAAATAAATATTCTAGCCTAAAATAACTTATACTAGTAAAAAAAAGTAAAGTTTAAGTTTAGTAAAATATTTTAAAATTTTTAAAATAAAAAAGCTATAAAGTAAGTAAGCTAAAAGTAAATTAATTTATTACTACTAAAATAGTTCCACTTTAAGTTTAAAAGACATAATATAAAAGTATTTAACTTTATTAAGAAAAAAAAAAGCTTAAGTTAAAAAACTTAAAACTATACTATACTATGCATTCTTAACTATTTTTACTATAGGATGCGCTAGATTACACTAGATTGTGCTATTAGAGCCCTAGATTAGACACTAAAATCCTCTATAAGTAAATTTATAATAGTAAAATAACTATTAAGATATTTTTTATTATACCTAGTTAACTACCTTTTTTTAGCTAAAGTTTAATTTTAACTAGCTTTATTTCTAATATTATTAGCCTTATTATACTTTTTAAAAACATAGTAGATTATATTAACAGCTTTAGCAGCATTAACATAATAATATTACTTAGCTTTAGTAATATAGACACCTTTAACACTATATTTTTTCTATTATGCTAGTTAGCGCTAGAATAGTTAAGAATAGCGCACACTTACTTTTTTAAATAAAGTTATTATAGCTTTATTTTTATTAAAGTTTTTTTTAAGCACTTTATACTTTTTTTTTCTTTCTTAGTAATATTAGCTTTAGAGTAGGTGTGATTTTTAAAAACAACTCTAGTCTTAGCAATTTTGCCTATAATGCTACTATGCGTGTACAGATAGTTGTTATACAAGATTTTATTTTTACTATAAACTATTAAAAGCTAAAATAAGGCTAATTAAGCTAAATTATACTATAATAAATAAACTTATACTTAAAAAAACTAAATAATAGTATTTACTTATAATATAACTATTACATTAGCTTGCGCTAACTAAGTAAAGTTAAGTAAATTAATAAAAGCTAAAATATTAAGCATAGTATTTTTAAAAGCTTATTGTTTAAGTTTAAAAAAGATAAAGAGCTATTTAAGGTTAGCTTAAATAGACTGCGTGTAAATATGCTAAAAAAAAGCTAAAATACGCACTTTAAAGCACTTTTTACTAGATTTAAAGTAATAAGCATATTTAGTATACTTAATTTTTTTTATACTATAATGTAACTTGTTGTTTAAGAGCATATAATAGCTACTACTTTTATTTATAATACCTTTACAAGACATCTTGTTAATATATTAAATATAAAAGTTATTAAAGTAGTTATAAGTTTATATTAGTAAAAGCTAATTAATTTTTTTTAAAAAAAACTATAGCTAAATTATAATAAAGTAAGCTATAAAAGTTTATTTTAAAGTTATTAAGTAAAGTTAAGTATAAAAGAAAAAGCTAAAAGTAAATTAAGTAATAAGTAAGTGTAAGTAAAGTAAGATAAAACTATTAAAGCTTATTAGCACCCTTTTACACTAAATTATACTAAAGTAGCTTAGAATGTACTTACTTTAAAAAGTTTAAAATCTTCTAAATTCTAACTTATAAAGAAAGTAAAAGTATAAAAAAGATAGACTTTTAGAATAGTTATGTAACGATTCTCGTTCCATCTCGGGTCGCCCGGAACCCATCCGAAGGGTCCCTGTATCGGCTCCGACCCTGGCTCAACCCTGACTCGACCTGGCCCCGACTCTGCCCTGCCCCCTGCTGTACCCCTATTCCTTCATGTATTTAGTTGCACCTCGCCCCTGTAGCTAGCTCGGTAGTTTTCTGATATCCTTTTGTACAAGGCCTATAGGTGTCAATGGCATTCCCAGGTTCAGAGTCCCCACGCACTCCCATATGCCTCTAAGTGGATTCCCACCGCATTCAGACCCATTGTCTTGCCTGCGCCGTTACAAGTTAGACCTTATATATACTATCCTAACTACTACTTTACTAGTGTAAGATATACTGCTACTTTACCTTTACTTTTACTTTATACTTTTACTTTACTTTTATCTAATAACTCTAAGTTATTTTTAAATAAACTTACATAAAATTAACTAAAATAAGTAAGAGTAAGTTTTTAAAATATTATATAACACTTTTTTATGCTACTTAGGCTTATTATTATCTGTTCTATTCTCTAAGTTGTAGGACTACTATAAGGGGGGATAATATAAGGCCAGATGTCCTAGAACGGGCTAGTATGGCCTCACCTGACCTGTTTGGAGGTCATATGACCTGTGCTTCGTATATAAGCATGAATCCTGACAAGCAAGGCTTAGCAGCGATTCGTCTCTCCTACAATACACTCCTATCTTTCTCCGAAAGCGTGCTCTCAGTGCTATCTGTGCTACTTACCATCCCATCTTTACAGTTAGCTATCGGGCGCTACCAGCTTATCCGCTGCGGAGGCCTATATTTCGCTCCATTGCGGCATCGCGCCATCAACTGCAAATGCTAGCGATTGCTAGGGGTTAGTGAGAATGCAATGGCTTTCATATACCTCAAGTAAAGAGTTTATCTTTGACTTCAAGGAGCAAACCCCCGCTCGCTGGTACCACCCGTACATTGAGTTGATTGCCTCTAAGAGTTCAGCGCGGCTGGCCTTCATGCATCGACAAGTCTAACCAGGTTGTGCTTCAACATGCTATCAACTCCATGTTTCGCTGGTACTAGAATGCGAGGGAATGTTACGTCTATCTATCAGATGTTTCGACAGCCGAGCGAAAAGTAAGCAACGACTCCTCCAAATTTACCTGGGAGCCAGCTTTTCGAGCCAGCAGATGGTTTACCCGGGGGTGGACCCTTCAAGAGCTTCTCGCCCCGCCTTTAGTTAAATTCTTCTCCTGTGAAGGCAAATATCTAGGTGACAAGACTACGTTAATGCGACAAATCCACGAGATAACAGGTATCACACTCCTAGCCCTTCAAGGAACACCTTTAAGCGAATTTAGCATGGAGGAACGATTTTCATGGACAAGAGACCGTCAGACTACGTACAAAGAAGACAAGGCGTACTCGCTATTAGGCATGTTTGATATCTGCATGCCGCTCCTCTATGGTGAAGGGGAGGAAAAGGCGTTTCAACGACTCCGGAAAAAGATCACCAAGCTCTCAAAGGGTGTCCAGCAGCAGCAAGCCTTAAACAAAGAAGACCAGGAATGCATCCAGCACTTACGCCTTACTGACCCCCGCGACGACAAGAAGCGCATCGAAGACACTAAGGGCGGACTGCTAGAGGACTCATACCACTGGATCCTCGAAAATCCCAACTTCCAACAATGGCGGGATGATGAGCAGAACCAACTGCTATGGATCAAGGGCGATCCCGGAAAGGGCAAGACGATGCTGCTCTGCGGCATCATCAATGAGTTGATTAAGTCAATGCCTAAGACAGACCAGCTGTCCTACTTCTTCTGCCAGGCTACGGACTCGCGAATCAACAGCGCTACGGCCGTATTGCGAGGTCTACTGTACTTGCTTGTTGATCAGCAACCATCACTTGTCTCACATATACAGAAGAAGCACGACCATGCAGGCAAAGCACTCTTTAAGGACACAAATGCCTAGAATGCCTTGTCTAAGATCTTCACAGACATCCTCCAAGATCCAAGCTTAAATAGCACGTCCTTAATTATTAATGCACTTAATAAGTGCGTGGCAGACTTGCCAAAGCTGTTAGACTTTATTGTTTAGAAGTTGTGTGTATCTTCTCGTGTTAAGTGGATCGTCTCCAGCCGCAACTGGCCTGATATTGAGGAGCGTCTAGAAAGGGCGGGACACAAGGTGAAGCTGTGCCTCGAGCTAAACGCAGAGTCTGTTTCTACAGCAGTTGGCATATTCATCCAGCATAAGGTGCTTCGGCTAGCAGAAGAGAAGAGGTACAACAACAAAACGCGAGACGCCGTGTCAGACTATCTATCTATAAATGCGAACGATACATTCCTCTAGGTAGCTTTAGTCTGTCAAAACCTTAAAAATATCTCACGCCGGAAAATCCTTGCAAAGCTAAACGCGTTCCCACCTGGACTGGGTTCTCTTTACGAGCGAATAATGCAGCAGATATGGGATTTAGACAATGCAGAAGATGTAGAAATCTGCAAGCGGATACTAGGCTTAACCGCGATTGTATATCAACCTGTTACATTACAAGAGCTGACATCTCTTGTAGATATACTTAAGTATATAGCAGATGATCTTAAGTCGCTTCGCGAGATTATTAGCTTGTGTGGCTCATTCCTTACAATCCAAGGAGATACGGTCTATTTTGTACATCAATCAGCAAAGGAATTCTTAATTAAAAATGTTTTAGATGGTATCTTTCCATCCAGAACAGAAGAGGTCCACTACGAAATCTTCTCAAGATCACTCCAGGTTATGTCTAGGACGCTCCGACAAGATATGTACGGCTTGGGTGCGCTAGGATACCCAACCGAGCAGATTAAGGCGCCAGACCCAGATCCACTAGCAGCGTCACGCTACCCATGTATCTCTTGCATGGGCTCAGGAGGGGGCATATGGCAAACGACTCGACAAGGGAGCGAGATCCAAACAAAGTGGAATGAGTGTATTGTAAGGTCTGAGGAGCTCAATAGAGCTCTGAGCTGACTATATACTGTACGAGATAGGAGCTATGCCTAATGAGTGAATAGTGCAGTACATGGGTATGATATCGCGTGAGACACGTGCGACAGTATCTACTAGATCAATCACCTCTGTAACTGGAATCCTAGTTCTTCTGCAGAGGATAAAGTTGATCTGCAGGATGGAGGCGCTGTTGACAGCTTCCTAAGACATCAATACCTCTACTGGCTAGAGGCTCTTAGCCTTTGCAAGAGCATGTCTAAAGGAGTAGTGTTAATAGCAAAACTAGAGGTCCTTATAAAGGTAATCTCTAAGTTCGTCTGTATTATTAATAATATATTAACATAACCAAGAGGAGAGCAAATGCATCTGCATTAAATGAACTAGTAAGAGATGCGCGCCGATTTATTATGGCCCATAAATTGGCAATAGAGAACAGTCCGCTTCAGTCGTATGCTTCCGCGCTAGTATTTAGCCCCACTCAAAGTATAATAAGAGGCCTTTTCAAAAGAGAAGAGCCAAACTGGATTACAATAGAGCCGGCTATGCAAGAGAAATGGAATGCTTGCCTCCAGACGCTCGAGGGCCATAGCCATTACGTCAGCTCAGTAGCCTTCTCCCCCGACTCTACACGGCTGGCGTCAGGGTCAGACGACATAAACTATCAGGGCCTAGGCTTGAGTACGGATCGTAAGTGGATAAGCTACGATTCGGAGAACATCTTATGGCTACCATCAGAATATCGGCCGTTGTGTGTTACAGTATCTAAGAATATGATTGGTATTGGTAGTGGCCACGGGAGGGTATGGATATGTAATGTTGAGCGTAACAAGCTTAATGCGTCCTAAGGCGTTAGGACCATTTAACCTGTTATTCTTTACTATCATATATTTATTATTCCCTCTGTTTCATAGAGGGCCGGGGATCAGCATGAATATATAGCTTGCAAACTTGCCACATCGAACCTTCGAGTATACCCTAGATCAGCCGACCAAGGTGTCCATATGCCGAATTTCAGATTAAGCATTCGCCACTCGAGGAGGACGAACACCTCAATCATACAGTACTAGCAGGGAGGATGGCCAACCCGCTCTGACACAGACCTTGCCATGATTGTCCAGAACCGATGACATGGCGAAAAGATATAAGGATCATTTCGGGTGGCAGAGGGGCGGCATGCAGCCCTAGACAACATTATGCTTTACCATGTTGGCAGGAACACCTGACCGTATGGACCTTCCTCAACTCCTCGGCCGTACGGTCCTTCCTCCGTACATTGTTTGTGCATATAGCTTCTTGACGCGTAGATTCAATACAACAACTTTACAACTCCAACATACCGAACATAGCCACCACCTGAGTCGCTGTGCAGTATTCCATCTCCCACTAACATAAACAATCCGATTTCCTTATTAATCTCAGCAGTTAAACTAAAGCACGTTGACCCCACGACTGTGTGTTACTAAAATGTTTCGAGTCTCTCTACCTGTGTATGTGCCTGCTCAAAATATTATCGTGCTATTAGTGATACACAACCTACTGCCTAGTTGAGGCTTTCAACACCCACGGCCGCCATTTGTTCTTCTCTTGTCCTATAAGTTCCGTCTTATTTTATTCTTCTTCTATAAGGCGCGACTAGCCTTCGACTGCCGCTAGTCTCAATATCGGCGAGGGGAGGGTTCGAGAGGTACGAGGACGTAATAGGCTTAATCTGGTCTTTCGTTCGCTATAGCAGCTTTCGGAGATTAAGGCCAATGCAAATGGCTAATCCCATGTTGCGGGGATTAGGTATCGCTGCGTATCGGGCTGCATCTTGAAGTGTGTAGGATGGCCTGGTTAAAGCTGGTTTCGACGCTGGAAGCGCGTTGGCTCGACCGAAAAGCACTGTGGCCGTGCCTGATCTTGGCACCGCTCCTAATCTTAGGCCGGATTGCGGGCTCTCACCCGCATATCTTACAATATAATACATCCAAATATATAAGCTAACGTTAAGGCAGTTTAGGCCATTACGCACTAGCTAGGATTAGTGTTTCGCTTTCGCTGGAAGTACTAAACGACATGGCGGCCTTGCATAAATTTGCCCACGACAGCACGCTCAGGGATGGCGATGACTTTAGAGCAATAGAACGACGTTTAGAGCCTTAGATAAAGGCCTTCTATAGAAGTTTAGAGCGATATAGACTTTACGTTAGTGCTGTAGGAGGGGAAGTATGCTACGCCACGAAAGAACTCGCTATATAAACTAGGCTCAGAGGCGATACTTCGCGTGTAATTTTTGGTAAAGAGTGGATCATGGACATTTAAGATTAGCTATAGCTTACTATTTCTATAGAACCGCGATTATATTGGTTGCGCGCAAGATGTTTGAGCTCGCTGAAGTCAAAGTACCCCTTATTTGGCTCGCCACACAGGGTGGCGAGCGTCACAGGGATGCACGTTAGTTGTTCGAATCGGGATGGTGGATGTTCGAAACGGGATGGGCGCTTAATTTGTGGCGTAGTTGTGCGCTGTGTAACGTGCACTTGTTTTCGGGGCATAACTGTGAGGACGTGAAAATTGTAGCGAAACAGGGTGCGTTGCAAAATATATAAGGGTTTGAAATCCAGTAGTCAGCTGGGCGACAGACCGTCTGATATTAAGATCCAAGGAACGGAGAGAATAACAGCTTGCGATATGAGGTGAGATCGTCCAGTATCCTTTCACTGAACTAGTGCCGGGTTTTGCAACCAATATAACTGGGCTAGTTATTGATAGAACTTGAAGTCTAACGTACCTCCGTGCGGGTCGAGAAACCCACCAAGCTGAGAAAATAGAGGGGTACTGCTACTCTGCGACTTTCACTCACTTCAATATTTACTATATTTTTATATAAGATATCTCTTATAAGTAACTCTAAACTCACAGGCACCTTTTCACCTAGAAGATTACCATCTCGTTGTTGCCACCGCGTCTGATTTGTAGAGAGCATCCTTTTGTGACGGACCTGCATTGTACGTAGCAGGCTAGTCACATGACTGGTCCATGTACGTAGATTCTCGTGGCTTGGAGAGAGACTATAGAGTTCATGCACCAATAAGTCAAATCAGCTGCTCCTTGGCCTCGCTTAGCTGCGCACAGGCTTAATTAAAATTTCTTGTACTAAACCTCTCTTACTTTTACTCTAACCCTCTCTATATACTAAACTTGTTTTAGTTAGGTTAATACCTTTTTAGCCTAAGGCACTTACTAACTACTTTTAAGGCCTTCTTTTAACTTACTGCTAAATTATTCTTACTTATAGCAACTACTATATTATTAAGGCAGCACTAAGAACTAATATTTCTAAATTAGGTAATTAAATGCATAAAAATTATATTCTAATCTTAATTACATAGCGTTTTTAATATGTTTAGTAGATTAAAATAAAGCACTACATGCTAATATGCTGCTAATAAATCTAAATTTTTTATAATAAATTTAACTTTAAATTTAAAATTAAATAAATAAAAAAAGTAGGCTAAATATTACTTATTTTATAAAAGTTTTAATTATGTTTTTAATAAGTTTATAAAGTAAATAGCTATACAATAAAGTTTATCTATATTAAAGTTTATAAAAAAGTGTGTTACATTAAATAGATTTCTTATAACACTTTAAAATAAATTTATAAGGTAAGTATTAATTAAAATCTAAATATGTCTAAATAATATTTTTATAAGCTATAGTAAATGTATCTTAACTATAATTAGCTTATTAATTATATTAAAATAGCTTACCTTAATTACTAATATATCTCCTGCTTGCATAAAGATAGTAAAAGTAGAAAAATAGCTAAAAAAGATTAACTATCTATCTAAAGTTAGTATTACATATAGCCTAGATCTTATTTAGATCACGTTTAGATTGCGTCCTAATATATATTAAAATACTATAAGAGTCTAATAAAAAAGCTCTACGCTGCTATGCCTAGTCTAAATAATAAACTTAAAAAGTATTATAACACTATATATAAAAACTATTTTAGTGCTTTTATAATATACTTTTTTTTTTACCTTAAATATAACTTTTTATAGTGTATATAACACTATTTAATTATGTTTTAGTAATAGTTTTTAATTTTATATAGCTTTCTAGCTCTAGTAACTTTTTAAAAAAGAATAAAATAAACTTTTAAAACTTTATTAAAAGTGCTAACGTACTTTATAGGCGAGTTGCTTACACACCCAAGTTGCTTACTTTTGCTAAGACCCTACTAAACCACCCTTCCTACACTAATGCATTCCCCACAACACTACTTAGACGCGCTAAAAGAATGTTAGATACAGCTTATGCTCTAAGCTTTTAAATAAGACATAAAACTTTTAAAGAAATGTGCTATAGCTATGTGCAAGGTTCTATAAAAAATAATAAATAACTATAGCGCTAGACAACTTTTATAAGCTAATTCTACAGCTAAATTACAGAGGCTAGGTAATAAAAAGAAGCAGGTAATTGTTAAGACTATACTTAAGCTATATGCGTAAAGAATTTCCCCTTAGATAGCATTTATAGCTAATATAGCTAATTCTTTATGCGCTAAGCATAATCTAGGCTATATTTGCATAAACTAGCCTAGTACGTTTGTAAAGCGTTATTTAAAGCTTAAAGTAAAGTTTTAAGCGCAAGTATAGTTAAAAGATATCTAGCTAATTATAAACCCTATCTTGCTAAAGTTGTACATGTTATTATCTTAGATGCTATACTTAGCTTTAATATTCTCTACAAGGCTAAACCTGCTCTAAATTACCCTAGGACTCTTATAAAAAGCTCTCTTATAGTTATACTTACACTTAAATGTTACTTTAAGCTCTAAATAACACTTTACAAATGTACTAGGCTAGTTTATATAAATATAGCCTAGATTATGCTTAGCGCGCAAAGAATTAGCTATATTAGCTATAAATGCTATCTAAGAGGAAATTCCTTACGCATATAGCTTAAGTATAGTCTTAATAATTACCTACTTCTTTTTATTACCTAGCCTTTATAATTTAGCTGTAAAATTAGCTTGTAAAGGTTATCTAGTGCTATAGTTATTTATTATCTTTTATAAAACTCTACACATAGCTACAGCACATTTCTTTAAGAGTTTTATGTTTTATTTAAAAGCTTAAAGTGTAAGCTGTATCTAACGTTTTTTTAGCGCGTCTAAGTAGTGTTATAGGGAATGCATTAGTGTAGGAAGGGTGGTTTAGTAGGGTCTTGGCAAAAGTGAGCGACTTAAGTGTGTGAGCAACTCGCCTATGAAGTACGTTAGCCTTTTAATAGTGTTTAAAGGGCATTTTATAAGTAATTAACTTTACTACTGTTCTTTACATTACTTAATTCTAAGAATTTAATGCCGTTAAGAATGCTCTATATAAGCACTAACGTACTTTATAGGCGAGTTGCTTACACACCTAAGTTGCTTACTTTTACTAAGACTCTACTACACTACTCTTTCTACACTAATGCATTTCTAACAACACTACTTAAACATGTTAAAGGAACATTAGATGTAGCTTACACTTTAGGCTCTTAAATAAAATGTAACACTTTCTAACTAACACGCTGCAGCTATCTACAGAGTTTTTTAAAAGATAATAAGTAACTAACGCGCTAGATAACTTTTTTAAGCTAATTATACAGCTAACTTATAAAAGCTAGATAATAATAAAAAGTAGGTAATTATTTAGCACATACTTAAGCTAAATGCGCAAGGATTTCCCCCCTAGCTAGCAGCTATAGCTAATATAGCTAATTCTTTACGCGCTAAGCGCAATATAGGCTATATTAGCATAAACTAGCCTAATATGTTTATTAAGTGTTACTTAGAGCTTAAAGTAAAGTT